GAGAGAGAGAGAGAGAGAGAGAGAGAGAGAGAGAGAGAGAGAGAGAGAGAGAGAGAGAGAAAGAGAGAAGCGGTATTGTATTGGGTTGATCCATAAATTCGTATGGATTTTTGTCTAATTGACATTCGTATTTGACCAACATAAAAATGTCGATATTAGGAGGATAGTTTCATAGTTGGCTATTTATGTATATGCTTTTATTGCTGACATTTTAAAACATATTTTGTATGAGATTTTGTAAGGGATTTAAAGAGAAATACAGTTGTCTTGATAGCAGCTTGAAAATGGGAGGCCGTAATAAGTTTTTCCGATGCATTACGCATTTTTATTTCCATAGAAATTGTTAAGGTTTGGCTAGAATGTTTTGCCTTACCCGCCATATTCACCCGACATTGCCTTTTCTGATTATCATTTGTTTCGCTCATTATAGAACTTCCTTAACGGTATAAACTTCCCTTCTTTAAAAGATATGAAAAATCACTTGGAACGTTTCTTCGTCGCAAAAGTTTTACGAGAGAAATATGAAATTGCACGTGAAAGATGACAAAATATTGTCGAACAGAATGGCGCGTACATTGTTGGTTAAAATTATTTTTTACAAGAATAAAATATATTTTAATTTTGAAAATTCGTACGAACTTATAGATCAATCCAATATTATTCGAATTCTTCCATTTTTATCGTGCAAATATGATATAAATATACATGCGCCCAATAAAGATTCAGTCCAGTGTCTCACAAGTCTACGTAGTGGAAAGAGAACGAAACGTTCCTCGTTAAAATTTATCTAATTTTCTTTCTGCCGCGAATTTAAATATTCCGCGTTTATTAGTGTATTTCCGTTTGCACCCCTTTATTGCGCGTTACATGTCAGTTTATCGTGCGAAATATCAGGCCCATCGAGAATGCGTCTATTATCATGTGAACGTTTAGCGCGGTTTCACACGCGAACATGTTTCCGCAATCGTTTCCGTATTACCTCGTAACGACCATCCTCGGTGGCGCGAACAAACTGTATCCCGCCTTGCGCGGCCAACTCCAGTAACTCGTTGCAGTCCTCCATCAATGGAGCCGAATTCGCGCCGCTTTGCGGATGATCCAGTTCATCGCGATTCAGCTCGGTAAATGGGAATTGCGAGTCCAGCGCCGTCACCAAACCATCGTCTATTGATGGTAGATTAAAAGAAAACTTTTTTTATGTCGTATAAACGGTCACACTGAGAGAAAAAATAGTTGATCTATCTGAAATTATAATTGTTTTTGGCTTCAACTATATTTTTTTATCCTAATATCGTAGTAATAACATGCATATAAGAGATTATTGTCACCAGTACTATAATAGAATCTAATAAAAAAATATTTTTTCTTGGTCATAATTTATAATAATTATTCCTCTATGGGATTATAGTTATACAAATACCAAGAATATTTTTCTCAGTGCGGTATCGCACTGAGAAATTGACGAAAGCTCACCTTGCTCTTGTTCCGCACCAGGTGGCTCAATGATGAAGCTGGATTTGCCGTCGGGTTCGATGTTTTGTATCACTATAGCGACTACGGGCACCTTCACTTGCACGGCCTTCGTGCCGTCGGTGTCTGTGGTTTCGTTGGGACTCGGAGTTATTTTTCCGGCAATTCGCAAATCCTCGGCAGTCGCAGGTGTAAGTGCCTGCGGTGAACGGTGTGTGATTGTTTCATTTTCTACGTTTTCGTCCGATCTCGATAGCAATCTCGAATTCATGTAACCGAGAGTGCTAATTTCATTTGTAATATTGACTGTTTAGTCACTGCGCTTGCGGGAAGAGACTAAAGCTGCCGACGAGCAAAGTAGAAACGCGCCGCGATGATAACAACGTTGTCTGTAATTGTTTTGATCCGTAGTTTAAACGTCGAAAGTCACAACAATGAGAAGTTTTGGCTGATTTTTCGTTGAGCATTTTTATTATTTTTATCGCGAGTGCCTCGATCTTTGTTGATTATATATGTAACGCTTCCATGTAAAAAATGAATACCAATTAATATACGGTACATTAATGGTTCAGTAAGTACGCAAGGGTAATCACCGTTGATCGGCTATGTTTATAAAATCTGCAGATGGAAAGATTACCCACGGCAAGATAAACAAAATAACAAGTACACTCGCGAAACATCGAACCTCTTTTCGCGCTGTAATATTGGATATATAACTTTTAATTAGGCTCTTGCGAAATCAACTAAAACTTCATTAAATGCACTCTCTCAATCAATAAAAAGAATGATTATAACAAGAGAAGTGAAAAATATTTCAAGTTATAATTTTGCAAGAACTTAAGAATTTTTTTAACATCTAAATTTGTCTTCAATTGCATGGAAAAATTTCTGACAAGTAGAAAAGTGAGCATTTCGAAATAACCAAAATAATCTGTATACTCTAATGACTTGCTAGAATCAAAATTGCGAAATAATGCAATTGTATCGTAAACGACACTTACGTGTTTATTGCTCGCGGTGGCCCAAACTTTAACGAGAATCGGTATACCTTTGGCGGGCTTGTAAAGAGCAAAAGGAATCTGGCCTTGGAACAACGCCATCTCCATCGCTTTCGTATCGATCTTGTCTATCACAATGCTGTCCGCCAAATCCGACTTTCATACAACAAGATTTCGAAACTAATTACACAATCCAATTTCTCGTATTCGTTATAAATGAAATTGCCACTAACCGAATCGAAGTAATCCTTCTCTTTGTTTACGCTCGTTTGACTGCGATCACCATTGTACAATTGTATGATCCTGACATTCTTGCTGAAAGTGCACAATCATACATGTCACGCACTGAATGTCTCCAATTGAATCGACTTTCGCTGCCATCGCGTGATACAATCAAATGTATAATTACGGCCTTGTATTGTACGTTGGAACTATCGTTAATTATCGAATCAATGTCAACCTTTTCCGCCTACCTTTTCGCGACATTAGATCCGTTCGTCACGGCTGCGGATTGCGCGTTGCCTGCGCTTCGATATTTCACGCCGTGCTTATATTCTTCGTGCGATCTCAAAGCGAATCTGCGCGGAAACTCCTTTCCGCAGACTCCGCAAGAGTATTGCATCTTGTCGGCGTGTGCGTGCGCCTTCACTTTGTGACAGACCAAATTCGACATCTGGTTGAAGCCCTTGCCGCAGAGATCGCATTTATATGGCCTCTCATTCGTGTGTGTGAACACATGATTACGCAAGTTTCCTGGAAAAAGAAGTATTAACGTTAATCGACGGGTCTTTCATATTCATGGCGATGCGCTTCGCGGGATTAATTCGCGGGAAATATCTACGAGACGTTTGTAAATCTAAGGGCGAGTAAAGGATTAAGTTCCGCGACTTATATTTTACAGCAGTCGCGAATGACTAAAAAGAGAATTTGCCTAGTTTAGATATTAGTAGTAGACGGTTACGTAATTTATGCGTGTGTCTGATACCCTTCTGGTGAAATCCTTTGCCGCATACGTGACACTTGTGCGGCTTGTGCTCCGAGTGCGTTTTCCGATGGGAGATCAACGTGGATACTCTGAAATTCGAATCAGCTTATCAACAGGATGGTTACGAGATCCCATCGTAATCGAAGAAACGAAGCGAGCTATAGGGCGAGGGTAGATATCGCGGAGAGAGATCGATTGCGTCTGCGACGTTTAAACTTAAAGCGCTCCCACCGGAGAGACGATTACCGACCTGTTAAACGTTTTCTTGCAGAACTCGCACACGTACGGCCTGGCGTCGCTGTGTATAGCTTTGTGCTGGCTCAATGTTGACAGTTGGCGGAAGGCCTTGCCACAAGCCTCGCATTTAAAGTTTCTCTCGTCGGTGTGCGTCGGCAAATGTCTCATCAAGGTGTACTGATGGCGAAACTCTTTTGAACCTGATTCGAATATTAAACATGAAAAGTTTCTTATGACGAAAACGAGTCGGCGACGACGGCGCGAGTCAACGTTAACGTTAAGAAGTAATTACTCGTTGCGCCGCGTAATCCAACGAGAATTCTCACGTTGCGTCTCCCGTGAAAAAAGAGAAAGAGAAGAAGTTTGTCCATCTTGTTGTTTTGATCTTCTCTCTAAATTTGTTGGAACGGAATCTCGCTGAAAACGAGTAAAAAGTGGCAGTATTTTCACTCGAGACGACAGTGAAAATACTGCCACTCACCGTAAGAGTGAACGTTCGCTCAAGCTCAGAGTGGATTCTGACTTCATGTGAGCGAATGTTCCGGTCGATTAAAGTGAATATATCCCTGCGACGGTGGAATACATTAGATTTACCCTTTAATTTCAAGGGAAAATCTTTGGAGTGGAAAATTCGCTCTGTGTGAGTGAAAAATCACTCGAATTCGGTGGTCACTCTATTTTTCGAGTCAAATTCCACTCCAAGAAATTTAGAGAGTTACATGAATACCTCGTGTGTAATTATTGATTGATAATTAATAATACGGGAAAAGAACCGTTGCTTATGTTGTTTCACTCGAAGATACTTAGACAATAATTCGAATACACACACTTTGTGTAGTTATAAATTAATAATTAATAATATGGAGATAGAACCGTTGCTAAGGCGGGCTGATTCGCTCCCTAATTGAATTTGGACAAAATCACTTTTTGGTTAAGGAGAAATCGCGATAGTTACGCACAAATGCCGCATTCCCAAATTTTGAGCGTCTTGCCATCCCGTTTGAGATATTTGACGAAATGCAATCTGGATCTTGGATCGTCCTTGTCGATAAGTCGCGTCGTCGAGCTCGAAGGACCTTCGGCAACGGGATGCGAGTACACAACCATGTTCTCGTCCGGCGCGCTAACGCTCTGCTCCAGAATCTGGAAAAGTCGGAAATTCGAAATTTCAACGAGCATACCGATAAAAGGGGCAAACGAAGGGAATTTTCCCATCTGTGTCCGTGAAATATCGAGAAATTCGATGGGATGCCGTAAAAGCGAATAACACGCGCAACAGTCGGTCGCAGTTTTCCAGGATTACATTCGCGCCGTGAAAAATCGTAGCTCCAAGGGCATTCCGTCGTAATTACGCGTATATCGCACAGTAGATAGGCAAATACTTGGCACATAAAAGCGTAAAAACGAGCGTATGCAAATGAAATTCTTCAAACTAAGAAGAAAAGGGTACGGGGCCAGATAAACGGAGCGCCGGCGGCCGTGTCGGGCGAAATATTTCATGCAAACTGTTGCTGTAACGATACGCACCCGCCCGCCGCCACCTATCTCTCCCGGCAAACAACTTTCGCGCTAATAGTTCGACAAATATTTAAGATACCTTACTGTGCACTTACTTTATACCTTAGCGCGTCCTTGCCGAGGAGTTTCGCGACGGTGCTGTCGATATTGATCACCTCAGAGTCGTTGGCCGCGTCCATGTCCATGCACTCAGCCTTGAAAACGGTTTCACATGATAGCGGATCGTTCTCATCGGTAAAACTGCCATATGGATTAATTACTTGGATCAATTGCTGATCGGCTGATCGGCTGCCTAATCCTGATACGTTCTGTGCATCGCCCCTCGAGTCCACACCCGACGATTCCTCCTTCACGTAGACCTCGTATACACTACATCGTCCGATCGTTTTCATAAATTCCGGAAATTAGTAACGCGATTACGAGCGAGCGTAATTGCGACAAGTTCTCTCTCTCTCTCTCTCTCTGTCTCTCTCTCTTGAACGCGCACGATATATCAACGTCATTTCCTTTCAATTCTAGCATATCAATTATCTATTCGCTCTGTCTAATTATTCGTCAGTTCGCAGTAAATACCAACTAGCAATAACATTACACGTCAATGTTATAATTTCCCGCTCGACAATGTAAGTGCAATATTATGTACGTTGTATATAACAGTCACATTGTTGAATAGGGAATTATAACATATTGATGTAATGTAATTGTTGATTGCTGTTTAGCGAGCTGTTAGTGCCTCGACATGCGCGAATCATGGAAAATCTACTTCGGATCAGCAGACGCGAATAATCTACCATTAAGCGTGGAATTTTGGGGGGACACAATTAAAATATAATTCAAATAATTGAGAGATATAACGATTGTTTTCTAATAGTAAGTATAAACAATTGTTTTCTGAGAAGTCTAATGGAGAATATCCAAAACTTATTTGCTAGACAAATCGCATTGTGCGTGTGACAGACAGAATCGAAGACTTCCAAAGGCTACTCTGCAAAAGATACCGTCGAAATTATGCAATTCGATCATTGTTTTCTCTCGTTTGCTTCCCTCTTTTTTTTCGCGTACGACGTTAAAATAAAGTAGTTTGTGTCCGTGCTTACGCCAGCGACGTGCGCCAACGTATAGCGCGAGCTTACCTGATAACTTCGTCCGGAATGGGACGAGGATATTGCACCTGCGCATCGTCGTACTGAGTTTCCCCTACGAAGTCGAAAAGCATTCCGTGGGAAGTGTTGCCTTATCTCGAAAATAATGACGACGGTACATCGCCACGCGGAGATATTCGATATTTCACATCACCTCGACGCAGTGTCGCGCGTGTGTTTAATATTTCAGAGAGACGCTCGGAAATTTATACTCCTTGTGATTACACGTGGCGATGTTTCATTGTCTGCTTTTGGAGCTTTTTGCATTTTATATATTTTATGTGACACGAGAAAATTCTCGTGCCGAACTTAATGGACAGTACGTAGTAAGATCGATATTTATTCGGACCACGATGATATTATCTGCGAAGAGATCGATTGAAAACATTCCAGCCTTGCTCCACAATTTCTCCGGCAAGGAAGAAAAGAGGGGCAGAGAGAGCATTGTTTGGGTAACGTAAAGACGGCTAATCGGCCTGCAGCATCTCGAGCGAGACGACGGCGTCTCTCTCCCTCTCTTTCTCTCTTTCTCTCACTCTCTTTCTCTTACACATACATAGCTTGTACTCAGCTCGACTTTTGTTCTGCACGAACATTGTCGCACGCTTCGACATTGACACGTATATTCAATCGCAGACGCTCATTTTCCAATTTTCTCATATTGTAAATTGTATATTATATTTTTCCGTGTGCTATCCACATCTCAATATTTATCGTTGCCATAATCGCATAAACTGAGAAAAAAAACTTGAAAATTTATTTGTAAAATACAAAGTTCATTTCCAAATATAAACTCTATACCTCACGAATAAGTTTTCAAGAATATCTATTTTCTCAGTATATCTATCAATCAGTTATAAATAATTAAATCTGTAGACATAATTAAGTAGTAAGATCAATGGTGAAATCATGAAATGGAAAGATATTAATTATTCAGATAAAATCAAACTTGTATAGGTACGTACGTAGATTTACCAAAAATGGAGCAATCGACCATAATTTTCAATTATGCGACAACGCGCAGCCAAATAATATCCCATGGTTACAATCGAAAAGCATACTCGGGATCGTATCCCGCGGGAGGCAGCAACAACTGCTCGGAAAATGTTCAAGAGATCTCCTCGCACAATGTACGTCGCGCGGTGTATCCACAGGATTTCATCGTGGAAATTTCCGGTTCCGAAAAATCGATGGGGACGACGCGACTTATCGTCTCTTCGATCGTGGCGCGACTCACGACGATCAAGATGACGATGACGGCTCGGTTTTTTTGTCTTTGGCATTAAATAAACGAAAGCCGCCATGATCAGACCTCATTTTTCACGCGGTGAATCACGTGAATCATCCGCGCGCGCACGTATCCGTGATCCTCCTCGCGATTGCTCTGCCAAGAGGCGACACAACGATAACGACGACGATAACAACAACGATGACAACGATAACGATACACGATGACGCCAACGACGATGTGGACGAAGATGAGGGCAACATTAACGTTACTTACAGTTGTATCCTTGTAGCGAGCCGTTCCGCGACATTTCTCGCACCGTCCTGAGTCCTGGTGCTGCTTGGCTACAGTCAATGTCATTCGCATCAACCGCCACCGTAGATAGATCCTGAGGAATCATGTACGCCACATGAACGCCGTCTGCCGGCAGACTTCGCATTTAGAATCAGCAGGAGCGTGTGCTTTTGAACGCAAGCTCTTTGGGCTTCTTCTCGCGTAGAGCTTAATCGGTAACACTCGAAATGTCGCGTCCAATTTTTTCACGATACTTAGTGCGCAGATGCTGAAGTCAACTCTCGTGCGTCCGATTGACCATGTATTCTGACAACCGATGGTAAGTGTCGAAATGACATAATAATTACGGCGCTGCAAAATGTGAACATTTAATAAACAGTATATACACTGGGAAAAGAAATATTTAAGAAATAACAAATATTTATATATTTGATGAATTCTAATAATATATTTATAAATCTAAATTTTTTTATAAATCTAAATTTTTTATTTGAATAGAATAAACAGTTGCTTTCATGAAAAGATAAGGTTTCCTTGAGATTTTAAGAAAATGTACTATACTTTCTTATTTCTGAAAAAAATTTTATATTAGTACATGTAAATATATATTATTAGAGTATTCACCAAATTATTTACAATTTCTCTTAGATTTTTTATTATTATTTATTATATAAATTATTTTTATTATTATTTATTACATTATTTTAATATATATTTACTATTTCTTGCATTATTTTCGCTCAGTATATATGAAAATAATTATAGATGCAATTAAATATTTATGCAGCCATTCATGACATTTTCCCATTAATTTGAGGATTCTTATTACCAAATTATACATTTTTCCAATAATTTAAGAATTTTTATTTTCGCAAATTTGGAAATTGAAACATCTCGATATTCAAAGTGAAAAAAATATAGAACATTATTATTTCCCGTTAAGAAAGGACCATATTAAATCGTCGCGTTTTCAGTTTCAAATGCAATCTTCTTTTCAACTCGTTCGGCGAAAGCTCGGCCTTATCCTTCGCCTGGATATTTGCGCGTGTAACATTAATATGCCGGGAAACATCTGGATATCCCGTTCGATCGGTGAACTAACGGAAACCATCTCGAAAGCCGGAACCGAAGAACTACTCTCCTCCTGTTTTCGAATTCCGGTCAGGTATGTCGGCGCTTCCCACCTACCTACCCACCGACATAGACTCCGCCATACTCGCCCGACTCAATTATGACTTGCTACTTCTTGTTAGCCGCTGTTTAAGTTACTCCAACCTTCCTTCCCATGGTCCTTCCTTCCTCTCTATCTACCTTCCTTCCTGCGTCCTTACTCTGAGCCGGCCGTCACTTCCGTCTTTCGCGTCCATTCTCTCATGGAAGCTGAGAAACACAGTTTTGCTCGTGGACAAGTTGAGACGTTTGAATGACGCGATAAGCAATAACGAATAAATTTTTATCTCATCTTTCGCGATCTTCGATTACTCTTTTGCGCAAATTTCGATTTGTATATACAGAAAACTACTTACTCCATTCAGATATATGTTACTTATTGCAAGTATTTCATAAATTGATATATTCGCAAATATGTCACAAGTTTATTACAGACATTAAATTTACTCAAAATGCATTCCTAGTAAGTTCAGCATTTCAATCAAGAATATTAAATTAAAACCAAAATTCGGTTTGCTTACTCCGTAGAACTAAAGCAACTTTTTTCGATAAATCTTATCGTATTCTTGTAAAAAGAATAAATTCTTATGTGATAAGGATAATGAGCCTTTCTAAAATTTATAATTAATATATTTTTTAGGACTGTTATCAAGAAAATATTCTTTACTGAAGATAACCATTACTTTAAAGAAAGATAATAAACTGAGTGAGCGTTTTTTTCTCAGCAGTAGAATGACATTTTTCTGTATATATACGATGCCATACGTATTGTTCCGGCATATTTACGCGAGCACGTGACGTTTACAATATTCTCATGTTGTTTAATCTCATCGTGCGCGTATTTCAGCTCCGTCTTAAATTTGACAAAGTGCGTGTAGTGTTTACGATCAGCTTTATGCAAAGAAAAAGTAGCGGTGAACTACGCGCGCGAGTCGACGCATCAGCGCGCCAATGTTTGCCAGCTACTTGCGAACTGTCGAGGAAGTGGCGGCGGTTCTGCCTGACTGTTCTTACTGCAAACTTCGTCTCTTTGGCGCGCTGCATGTGAGCGGAACAAAGCATACTTCTCTGTCTCGATAGCATAGTATTACGAACACGCGGGAAGAAGCTCTCGAATGACGTTAGAAATTGTGTACTCCTGACATACGTAAGAAGCTATTTTTGGCATACAAGACCTCTCCTATAGAAATTTCAATTACGATAAGGTGTAACGTAAACTAATCAGTCAAATTGATGGTTCTTTCGATCGGTTCAAGGTTCAATGCAAGATTGGAAGGCATGACGATTTTTTCGTCTTGAGCGAAATTCATTCGAGAAGATGGCACTTTGTTACTTGAAGCGAATTTTTATTTAAAATTTTCCATTTTTGCTCGAAAATATATTCCTACTCGTTCATATTTTAAATAATATAGAATTATTTCTATTCTCTTTTTTCGTCTGACATACGCGAGTTTCCTCTCAAAACTATTAATTGAAATTTTTCGCGAAGGTGCAAGATTTCCCAATAAGTGCGCGGTCATTAGAATGCCGAAAGAATTGTTTTCTCAGGGAACATTTGATTTACCTCATCAGCGAGTTCTTAACTTGGGCGTGGGGTTTGAATAGCGGTTGGGTGCTCCAACGAAATGCTTTCACGAACTCGACTCGGTGAGTGGCTGTGGAAAGGTGTGAGAATCTGAGCGAGATAGAGGAAGGGAAAGCAAGTGGGTGAGGTTGCGGGGTGGAAAAAGGGGTGAGCGAGAGAGTTCACGGCAGCGTGGGGTGGCAATTTGATTTTGCAACCTAGATAAAGAAAGCTTTCTTCCTCGTTATTGGTTACTACGAGTTCCAACCTCCTCGCTCCTTAAACTCGAAGGAATTTCTCACTACTGGATGGAGTAGTCCGGAGAGATAGTTTCGTCGACGTGAACTTCTAATATGGTATATATACATATTACATACATATATGCGCATAGCGTAAATTATAGCCATCCCACGAAGATGCGTGATCGCGTATAGATGCTCTCAGTGCTATTGAATATATGGCGAATAGATGCTGTGAGATGGATAGCCTTGTGTTGGAATGGCCCAATAATAAAATGTGAGTGAATGGATGAGTGAGTGATTGAGTGAGTGAGTGAGTGAATGAGTGAGTGAGTGAGAAAGAGAGAACGGCTGTTAGCGAAATTGTCTAGTACAAAGTTATTTCTTTTATAATTATAATTAAAATCTTACTTTGAAATAGTTAAACGTATAAAAATGAAAGAAACTTATATTATTAAAAGTGAAAAAAGCAATTGTAAGGAAATTATTTCGTGAATATCGCTTTCTCTGATCGGTTTCTCTTCTTTTGCTTAATGAAAGATTCATATAAATCTTTTAGAAATAATTTTTAGCAAATTATGATTAGCTGTGGCAATAAAATCTTTTTTCCATGTAATATTAAAAAAGAACCGTTGTCTGTTAAAATGTGTACTGTTGTCAATGTGTGAAGAAAATTTATTTTATGTGCAGAAACTAACTAAATATAAGTTTACTAGTAAAGTAGCAAAGTACTCTAAATAACTTTTCACTAGAATAACCAAGAAATTTTCAATAGAAAATCTCTTGGTATCTAAATTAGGGTCTTTAAATTAGGATCTCTAAATTAGTTCGATTTCTTAAAATAATTATCAGTTCTAAATGGAAGTGTAATATTTCAAACATTTAAATAGGGCGATTTTAAATAGGGCAACCAAGTTTTTCAATATTTTTTCTAATCTTTATTTTACATTAGAATTGAGTAAAACTTTCAAAATAATTTCGTTATTTAGTTACATGCTAAAAGTGTTTTAAAAACATTTTGTTTTTTTATGTTTTGTTTTATTGAATACAATAATTTATATAAAAATCTCTATTTCTCTGATTCTTTGTTTGATAGTATAAAGATATAATGACTTTAACGACTGAAATAAAGCGCGAGTTCCTATAGTATTTTTGTTTCAATTCTGGATAAAGAATCTATGTTTGAGAAAAGAATGGAATTCCTGATTGGTATCGTAGTGAGATGACAAATTTTGGGACTAATTTTGACATTCAGGATTTATGCTGTATCTGGAAAAATCTTGAGAAATTTTTACGAAGGTTGTTTCCTCTTATAATTTTTTACGGTTATGAAGACCATCAAGTAATATTCTAGATCTGTAACGGGGTG